CCGGCTGCTGCTCATAATGGTCGTCTTCGTCTTCGTCTTCTGGATAGTGATGGTGGTAGTGGTGGCGGTGGTGCTGGTCCGGTGCACATGGAACGGCCGAGGCACGCGTCTTTCCCTTATTTCTTTCTCGTGTCCTCCTCCTCCTCCTCCGCTCCTCCATAGCAGCATCAGCAACAGCAGCAGCAACAATATGTCTTACAACGGGGAGATAGCTATATGAGTGAGGTGATGTGGTAGTAGTTGTAGTAGTAGTGTGATAGATATGTAATAGTTTACTGTGTTCTGTTGCCTTGCCTTGCTGCTGCTGCTCGGTTTCCATTTCGGCGTGAGGAGGTGAGGATGCTCCTCTCTTCTTCTTCTCGTGTCTCATCTTCCCTCAATTTACCTCAATATCTCTCCTCCTCACTTTTCTCCTCCTGAACAATTTCGGTCTGCCGGATGCTGCTGCTGTTGCTGCTGATGCTTCTCGATTATTCTCTCTGCCTATTTGCTATTGTTTGTTGATGATGATGATGCTGATGGTTAAGGAGTAAGTAGTGGCCCAGAGCTGAAACAACCATGAGGAGGAGCAGGAGGTGGCCTTTCCTTCAGTGGGTATGTTGTTGACCTGCGTCACTCGCACTCACTCACACATACAATTGGCTAATCTCATCCTCTATTTGGCCCGTTATTGCTGAGGGATATTGGACATCATCCAGCGCATCCCACCCGCCCTCTTCACACCGTGGCCCCCCTCCCCCTAGCTCCTCTTGAAGGATCAATCTCTCACTTCCTCTTCCTCGTCGTCATCTTCGTCTTCGTCCATGTGATTGTTGTTTTTGTTGTGTGATGTGGTGCGATGTGGTGTCGTCGTTAATTGCCCGCACACTTTGCCATTACAACAACGAAATGGAACACGCTCTCTCGGAAAAGTACGCCCCGTATGATTTATGACGCGTATGTGCCCATCCCTGAGTACTGTGTTCTTCCGAGATTTTTTTGATAAGGTGTGTATGTATAACAAAAATCTCTTCATGCAACTGTCTGTGTATGTGTTATCTAACAATTCCATCTGTTGTTTCAATAGCCCCAAAGAACGATAAGTGGGGAAGGGGGAGGGAGCGGGGCGAGGAAAAGGGAAGGGAGGGCGCTCGAAAAGCATGCTTTTCTTGCATCGGTAATGGCTCGCTTTTGTTCTCGTTTTATTATTTTATTATTATTATTATTGTTATTGTTATTATTATTATTATTACTACTACTACTACTACTACTACTACTAC